ATTACCAAATATGTTATTCCTTAATGGTTCGCTAATACATATATCATACAGTCATCCAAACAACACTAGAAGTGAATGCTCATCGAAACAGGAAATCTATTCTCTTTTTCCAAATAAATTCATTTAAGGTCATTGTTGAAGACGTAAAGATTTCCCCTGAGAGTGGTCAAATAGTTCGTTAATTCCCGCTTCTTTCAGATGCCTCCGGTCATTTTATACTCTAGGTGTATTTACCACCGAATAATGTATGAGATCTCTTTCTCCTAAAGTGAATTCATTGTTATATTATGTTAGCTTAACCAACACTTTATGGACCTTGAGGCAAAGGCTTCGACTTTGAAAACTGAAACATTCCGAAACATTAATGTTTCTCGTAGGAATTGTAGTAGACAAAGTAGGTTTGCGAACGGGATAATAAATTTTTTTCAGGGCAATAGAAATACGGACTTCGTCATATATATTTTAAATATTTGTCTAATAAATTTATCAATCACCTATTAATGTATTTTTTATTACAGATCGCCACTTAAATAAGGCATTTGCTCTAAATATTTCAAAGATATGTGCTATGAAGCTGAAATTTAGCAATATAGTTTTGGTTACAACATACCACATAAACACGATCTTTACTCCAGATATTTTAAATATTTGTATAATAAAACTAACAATTATCTATCGGTACTGTTTTGATAGTGATTAAATAAACGCTGACAAAACAGATAAATTAGCAAAACTTAAAATTATAAATAATTTTTTGACTTTGAATATGTCACGTACAATAAAATTACGATTTATGTATTTGATACATAACGAGTATTTATATTTAATTCAAAATCAAGTTTATTTTGCAATAAACAAAAAGTGATGGTGGAATTGTTTTTGAAATCGTGTGTTAAAAAAAGATTTTATTTTATTTTATTCATTTATTTAGAGTTTTTGAATTTTTTTAAAATTATTTATCGCTTAAAAAGACATTCTTTTGTACGATATTCTGGAAAACGATATTCTAGAACTAATCATCAAGGGAAAAAAATTAGATTCAAGATAATTAAGAATGGTTCCATATAGTGGACTATTTTTACTTCTTACTACTTTGATACTATTCCTCTATATCTCACCTTGATAAAGATATGCACTGGTGATGTGCAATTTAAAAGAATTTTCAAATTTTATTCTATTATCTTCAGAACTGCAGGGCAGATTTAGTATGAACACGGGTTGATACATTGGCAGGAGCCCAAAGAATCTTTCATTAGTCATCTTACAGATGCATGATCGTTAGCAACACTACGCTGTTAATATTTTCATTAATTAGGGTAAAACAACTGACAGCAGAGTGATCATCCAATAACCCGAAAAGCTTATGGTTAGGAAAATTTCAGTATTTGAACAGGTTTGAAACCATTTACAACTAACCGATTAAGAAAACTTGAATACAAAACTATATAGCTTCATAGCCATTTACAACTAGCAAGATTTTATAAACCGTCAAGATGAAATTTAATTGGATATTGGAGTTGGGTTGAGATTGGGGTTATTTTTCCAGTTAACTCTGAAATGTGACTTTTAATTTTGTTGTGCCATCTATCGTGCAAAGAAGGAAATGCGAGACTTTGAGTGTTTAAATCCGAGATGTGCAAATTACGGCCGCCGGGCCAACTGTGGCTCGCCGGAAGGTTTTATCCGGCCCGAGGATAGAATTTTAACTTGCCAATCCGTGGCGAATGTAAACAATATGCATCCATTTTCTTGTCTACTTTGTTTAAAGCTATTTTTGTTCTATCTTTTTTTAACAAAGTACTGATGACCTTTTTGCTTTCTCTATTTTTGTTTCACAAAGCATAAATTGATGGAAATAGACAGCTTTAACTGGTAAAATGTTGAAAGCAAAAGTTCTTTATAGAATAGCCGTAGATTGGCTCCAAAGAGCGCTTGTTTTTCTCGAGGAGCAGACACACGGGATCTAATATAGGTGAATTGTACTTCACATGTGGCAGACTGCGCATTTCAAGCTCCAACGAGCGGATTTTTCTGCCGTCGCGAGTTCTAACATTATTTATTACGTATGAAAAGATTGCACACACATAATGTCATTGTGAATAATGGTGAAATTATTAAATGTATAAAAACGCTGGTGCTTTTTTGAGTTATTTGTAAAATTTTTTAGCACCAAAATCGCTACTGAAAAACGTAAAGTTGATTCAGAGTGCCAAGCGTTCAATGATGAATGGACTTGGAAACAATTTTTTACAGTTGTGAATGATAAACAAGTATGTCTTATCTGCAATGAAGCTGTAGCAATTTTTAAAGAATACAACATTGACCGACATTTTACAGCCAATCACAAGAATGCCAACTACGAAGCAATGTCTGATAGTGAGAGAAGAATAAATGCAGAAAGTTTTTTTAAAGAATTATCAGGCCAACAAAATATTTTCAAGAAGATAAACAGTGTCCAAGAAGCAGCTACGCATGCAAGTTACATTAACGCACACAATATTGCTAAAAGTAATAAATCTCTCGGTAGTGGGGAGTTTGTTAAACAATGTATGCTCCAAGTTAGTGATGTTTTATGTCTAGACATGAAAAATAATTTTGAGGCTGTATAGCGAAAAGCGGTCACTTCTAAAATCGAAGTCATTGATAAAAATTTAACATCACAATTAGAGTAAAAAATTGCACAATTTACATTTTGCTCAATAGCTATGGAGGAAAACACTGATATAGTTGATACTTAATTAGTGTTATTTATAAGAGGTGTTGATGAGAACATTGAAATTTCTAAGGTACTGACAAGGAATGCGTTCTTTAAAGGGAACTACCGCGGGATGTGATATTTTTCTTGAGTTTCAGGAAGTGGTTTTTACTTTGAAAGTGGCCATAACAAAAACATGTAATATTTCGTTTGATGGAGCACAAAATATGACAGGAAAAAAATCTGGATTCCTTGGACTCTTTAATCAGAACTATTCAGGGAATAACGTTAGTTTTCTACATTGTGTTATACACCAAGATACTCTGTGTAAGCCTGCATTGAGTATGAAACCTGTGGTTGATGCAGTAGTAAAGCTTGTTAATACTATTCAATTTCGTGGACAAACACACAGGCAATTCCAAGATTTTCTTCAGTCCGTGCAATCTGAACACTCTGATGTACTGTATTACACGAAAGTAAGGTGGCCTAGTGCAAGATATGTTTTCGAGCAAGTTTGGCAGCTGAAAGACGAGATTGTGCAGTTCTTCCGTGAGAAACAATCTTCAGCTGAGTGCGAAGTATTGGAAGATACAGAATGGCTTTCAGACTTTGCATTTTTCACAGATCTTCTTTGTCATATGAACAACTTGAATGCTAAGATGCAAGGGGAAAATCAATTCATCGATGATATCTGGGCCTATCTCAAAGTTTTTGTTGTAGCTTAATCTGTTTGCTGGTCAACTAGCTAAGAACGACTTGTCTTATTTCTCGAGGTTAAATGCAATACCCTCAGTAAATAAGGAAAAGCTTAAGAATTATGAAGATGACTTCAAAAAACTCCACTTTGAATCTGAACGCAGATTTCAAGATTTCAGGGCCATTCAAGCAGAATTAAATATTTTTACCATGCGCACCAACCATTAACATTAACATGCGTATCACATTTTGTCAACGTAAATTATGAAACGGTGAGGTCGTATTTGCAGCTTGAATTAATTGAGTTGCAATTTAACAATCATCTGAAGCAGTTTTTTCTAAATATGCCAAAGTTTGAGTTTTACAAATCATTACCAATAGCTAGTTTCCAAAATTTAATATCTCATGCCCAGAAAATCAGTGCTATGTTTGCTTCATCTTTATGTGAACAAGTGTATTCAACTATGAACCGTCGAAAAAATCATTTCAGAAGTAGACTAACAGACAAGCATTTCCTTAACTTCCCAGCCTTGTTCCTTAAAATAAGCACATCTCACTTAAAATAAGCACATCAATTCCATCCATTCCTTAAAATAAGCACATCAATTTCATTCATCTCATAAAGTATTTAAATTAAAATTTTTAGNCCCCCAGTGTTTAGTTCCCAAGCATGCTTGGTACTCATTTATCGACCCACTGAAGGGATGAAAGGCTGAGTCAACCTTGCCCGGCCCGAGGATCGAACCAGGGACCTGTGGCACGACAGCGCGAAGCGCTACCGCTCAGTCACCGGGCGTCTAATTAAAATTAAAATAGATTCAAGATAATTAAGAATGGTTCCATATAATGGACTATTTTTACTTTTTACAACTTTGATACTATTCCTCTATATCTCACCTTGATAATGATATGCACTGGTGATTTTCAATTTAAAAGAATTTTCAAATTTTGTTCTATTATCTTCAGAACTACAAGGCAGAGTTCACGTGTGGCAGACTGCGCATTTTAAGCTCCAACGAGCGGATTTTTCTGCTGGCGCGAGTTCTAACATTATTTATTGCGTATGGAAAGATTGTACACAAATAATGTCCTTGTAAATAATGATGAAATTATTAAATGTATAAAATGGCTGGTGCTTTTTTGAGTTATTTGTAAAAATTTTTAACCCCAAAATAGCTACTAAAAACGCAAAGTTGATTCTGAGTGCCAAGCGTTCAATAATGAATGGATTTGGAAGCATTTTTTTGCAGTTGTAAAAGATGACATGAAAAATAATTTTGAGGCTGTAAGTTTATAGCGAAAAACGGGGACTTCTAGAATCGAAGCCATTGATAAAAATTTCACATCACAATTAGAGTTAAAAATTGCACAATTTAAATTTTGCTCAATAGCTATGGATGAAATCACTGATATAATTGATACTTAATTAGTGTTATTTATAAGAGGTGTTGGTGAGAACATTGAAATTTCCGAGGAACTGGCGCGCATGCGTTCTTCAAAGGGAACTACCACGGGATGTGATATTTTTCGTGAGTTTCAGGAAGGGTTTTTAACTTTGAAAGTGGCCATAACAAAAACATGTAATATTTCGCTTGATGGGGCACAAAATATGACAGGAAAAAAATCTGGATTCCTTGGACTCTTTAATCAGAACTATCTAGGTAATAACGTTAGTTTTCTACATTGGGTTATACACCAAGACACTCTGTGTAAACCTGCATTGAGTATGAAACCTGTGCTTGATGCAGTAGTAAAGCTTGATAATACTATTCAATTTCGTGGACAAACTCACAGGCAGTTCCAAGATTTTCTTCAGTCTGTGCAATGTGAATACTATGATGTACTGTATTACACGAAAGTAAGGCGGCTTAGTGCAAGATTTGTTCTCGAGGAAGTTTGGCAGCTGAAAGACGATATTGTGCAGTTCTTCCACGAGAAACAGTCTTCAGCAGAGTGCGAAGTATTAGAAGATACAGAATGGCTTTCAGACTTTGCATTTTTTACAGATCTTCTTTGTCATATGAACAACTTGAATGTTAAGATGCAAGGGAAAAATCAATTCATCAATGATATCTGGGCCCATCTCAAAGCTTTTGTTGTAGCTTAATCTGTTTGCTGATCAGCTAGCTAAGAACGACTTGTCTTAGTTTTCGAGGTTAAATTCAATACCCTCAGTAAATAAGGAAAAGCTTAAGAATTATGAAGATGGTTTCAAAAAACTTCACTTTGAATTTGAACGCAGATTTCAAGATTTCAGGGCCATTCAAACAGAATTAGATATTTTTACCATGCGTACCAACCATTAACATTAACATGCGTATCACATTTTACCAGCGTAAATTGTGAAACAGTGAGGTCGTATTTGCAGCTTGAATTAATTGAGTTGCAATTTAACAATCATCTGAAGCAGTTTTTTCTAAATATGCCAAAGTTTGAGTTTTACAAATCATTATCAATAGCTAGTTTCCTAAGTTTAATATCTCATGCCCAGAAAATCAGTGCTACGTTTGCTTCATCTTATATATGTGCACAAGCGTTTTCAATTATGAACTGTCGAAAAAATCATTTCAGAAGTAGACTAACAGACAAGCATTTCCTTAACTTCCCAGCCTTGTTCCTTAAAATAAGCACATCAATTTCATCCATTCCTTAAAATAAGCACACCAATTTCATTCATCTCATTAAATATTTAAATTAAAACTTTTTGATTTCTCCTTTTTTATTTTAGAAGTTTTCACTCGGCCCACCAAACTCTCTCCCCCTCCCTATTTTTTGCCTTCGTCCAAAAAAGTTCGCCTATCCCTAGTTTAGATGCTCTGTGGTTCTGCCATCTATGCGTGAATGAGAAGTTGGTATTCCAATAGTTCAGGGTCACCAGCTGAGGGATGCAGGACACTGGACACTGAAGGAATGAAGAAAATAATGGGGTGTCAAAACTATGATTTAAACCCCCGTTCTGCCAGTTCCTTTGGGCTAAAGTATGTACCCAGCTGCAAGAAACTAAGTGGCTTCATTCAGTGTTCACCACACACTAATTACTACACGGTTACAATTAGGCATCTGATGATGGAAAATAAAAATATGAATTCGCAATCTTTATCATTTGGCTTACTATCCAGCTTTTGAAGAATGTGAGTTCTCAACTTTTTTCTTCCATTTTCTGTGGGCAAGATGGCTCTAAAACTCTTGTTGTTTCACCCTATTAGGTGAAAACAGTTAAAAAATGATTTTTCTCACAGTTAATTGTTTGAAAACCATCTTTATGACAATGCAACTGATTCGGTTAAATATGGCAAAATAACAATAAAATAAATTGTGTTATTTAACTATTTTTTTCTGAGAAATTTCAAACAGTGTAATCGGAATTTGAAGGTGCAAAACAGTGCGAATTTTTTTTTTACTTCAATACTCTAACCACTATTTCATACTTTCCAATTATGCGTATTTATTACAATTGGAAAATTTATTTTATTTTTTATTGAAATCTACATTTCTACCTAATTTTATTAAAATTTACCCAGCAGTTCTGGATATAATTGACCAAATTTTGAGTCTTGGTGTTCAAAGTTCTCTTAATTTTGAACACCAATAGTAGAAAAACATTGGTTTATAATTAAATATTCTATATAGAATTTTTTTTTAATTTTTTTAAAAATATTTAATTTTTTAAAATATTTCTTCGTTAACCTCTTCCATTGTAAGCTTCAAGAATAAAATTTATAATTAGAATATGATAAATTTGTGATCTCCAAAAAATACCTGGTGGTGAAATCCTTTTCGTACTGAATAAAACTAATTTTTTCATTTCTTTAGTTAGTTCAAACAATAAACAAAGTTTTTTCTTCTCAAAACGTATGGTAATTTGTTTTCAAAACTGAATGTCTTGCCAAAAATAAAGTTAACTTTATGCTTTAATTGAGTTAGAAATGTATAAAGCAGCAATCGACTCTGAAGAATTTGGAATTGATAAAGAAATGTAATTAGCTGAATTAAATGTCATCAGATTAAAAGCTTTGAACAGCGAAAATAGTTTGCCTACAGCATACTTTGCATTCTGATTTTAAATTAGGCATTAATGCTCTTGTTAAGAAGATTACAGAAAGAATTTATGGGTCTCCTTGGCAACAAATAATCAGCATCGCAGCGGTTGCTTAAGGAAATTTATTAGTGTGTTCTGATTGGGTAAATTTTTAAATAATTAAAAATTAGGAAAGCAAAGTTCAAATTAATTTTAATATTTTGATGTTAAAGAATACTGATTTCGAGACATTAAACCCAGAGGGTGGCAGTTACGAAAATGGGATTGAAATTTGGCGGCAAAATAAAAGACATTAATTTTTGTATTCAAATTTTGGTAAGCATTCAAGTACAGTACGAAAAAAAAAGAATAGACCATTCTTAATAACTTTTGATCTAATGATCGGATCTTCACGTTCTAAGACCTCATTCTTAATGGTTTCAGGGGGTAACCTCAAATATGCTTATTACGTTTAAATAACGTCTACACAAATTAATTGCCCAGACGTTTTTTGAAGTTACGAAATTAGACCCAAAAACGTACATTTTCTGAATAAACATACCTTTTTTTATCGACGGATTCGGATTTTCGAAATATAAAATTTTGAGTATCTGACTCTTTTGAAATTCCATTTCTCAGGAACTACTCGACCGATTTTGCTCCAATTTCGTATATTGCTATATAAAATTACATTCTTTAAAATAATGCAACAAATTGATACCTTACAATTCAAAGCGTTCTCAATTATTATTTTATAAAATAATAAAAAATAATAAATATTTTCTGAAATTTATTTTTTGCATGAAATTATTTTTGGATCACTCTCCTGATCAAAATATGGAGACCATATTCCAGAGATTGGGGCTCTCCCCTTTATTTTAGGGGTCAAAAATCCGAATTGGTCGAAAAAAAGGTAAGTTTATTCAGAGAAAGTACGTTTTTATGTCTGATTTTCCAACTTAAAATACCACCTGCACTTATTAATTAGCATATTTGAGGTCACCCTCTTGAGCCATTAAGATTGAGTCTTAGAACGCGAAGATCTGATTAGATCAAAAGTTATTCAGGGGAGGGGGCAGGTTTTTTTGGCACTGTACTATTTGGCTTATTCAATAAAGTGCAGAAATACAAAGGCTAATGACGCATTACTTAGTAAAATACAAATAACGCAGACGGCAGTTTGAGTTTAAAATGGTTAGTATAATGAACTGGTTTAAAAAATCAAAATTTGTTTTTTCATAGTAGCTGTGATATTTAATTCTCAAAAATTTTTAGAGAAACTTAAAATTTTGGTGTATACATATTCAGTTTATTTATGGCATGTTCATTATGATTCGTCTAATTGAATATTTTTCGTCGATCGACAACAAATAGTTTATCATTCTCATAATTAGAATTTTACAATTATAATTTTATAATTATCATTTTATTATCATAGTTTTGAAATTATAATTTTAAAATTATAATTTTAAAATTAAAATTTTATAATTTTATAGCTTATATATACTAATTTACAATTTATATTTTTATAGTTTATATATAATTTACAATTTCGATTTCAGAATTATAGTTTTAATTATAATTTTATAATTATAGGAGGATCCACTCTCCAACCTCTTCGGCTACTCATTTAGTCTGGTTTGTTTATTTAAAATTCTATATTCTTTTTAAGGAGTCAAGCAATTAATTCAAGCAGTTGAAATGTGATTACTGTTATCACGCAATACGAAGTTTCCAATCCAGTGACCGAAGCTTTTAATATAGCTGCAACAATTGTTAAAAATTCTATTCTAGAATTTAAGTACTCTGGTGTACGACCCATTGATCTGTTTTTAATGAAACTGAATTTTTGCCTGTAGAAAACCTAATCAAGAAGCAAATCTATCGGATCCAAGTGATAAGCCTCCTCGTGATGCAAGTAATCATACGTCTTCTAGGTATTTGACAGACCACTGTGCTTCAATGTCTTCTTCTTCAACAAACAACAAAATCAATTTTCATCGTTTTAAAATATTAGAGGAAGAAAGTTCTAAATCGCAAAGAGCTGTAGTTGCAGCAGCCGCCCTTATAAAAATAAACTAGTACTATCATAATAGTAGTTTAGGCTAGCCAAAGAAAAGGCTTAAGAACTACAGAAGAATATAAAATTACAGGAATTAGATAAAAACTCCCTATTTCGTTTAAAAACAAAATCGAACACAGTAAACTAAAATCAATGAAGACAGCTCTTCGAAGCAAGGAATTGATTATTAGGTGCATATTAAACCAAGCACCTACTTCGTTACAGGATGATCGGATTAGTGCAGTTAATCCTGACGCATGGTTGTTGTGTGTGAGGTTCATTCAGTTGAAGATAGGGTGTGTGCAATATTTGCTGTGTGGTACAGGGGTTCAAGAAAAACATACCGTTTTGAAAAGAAGTTCTGTATGTTGTACCTAAACCATATAGCTTCCAAATATTAAATCTAATGACTTGCTTTGTAATTATTGATTGCTTTATAATTAATTCAGTTTGAATTTTCAAGTAAAATATATGCCAGAATATTCTAACTTCAAACTGTTACGTTTCATGGCAACGTTTTTAGGACCCGCTCTGGCGTACTTTTCTTATTGCCACGTGACCTCTCGCATGTGTTTTTGACCACAAACACATTGAGATTACCAGCCTTCTACATTCTAATCACCTAGTAACAGGGGAAGATCTCCCAAAAGGTAAGATCCTCGAAGAATGGAGGTGAAAATACGTGAGAGATATCACATGCTAGGTCACGTAACAGTATGGAAAGGCTACTAGTGCGAAGCTTTATAATACCCCTTGCTGAATTCGTAACTGTGCAGAAAAAGTAGTTCTGTATCTTATATTATAATAATAAGCACTTGCTTTGGGTCACCTAACTATTTACTTGTCATTTTTGTTCAAATTTTCCAGGTCGGTACGATTTAGAGTGCTGGTAATACGAATTATGCACCTGATTCCCTAAATCGTGCCACTTGCAGATCTTGTGAAAATAATTAATTTTTAGTACTTACTGCACAAGCAGTATTGCCAAAAAATGTTCAAAGTATCTGAGTAATTGTATTTTATTATT